CTACGATACCACTGTAGATTCAGCCTGTAACCGAAACTTAAAAACCAAGCCTAGCAATGCATCTCTAAGCAAGCGATACCCGAGACACCAGGGAAAAGGAGAAGGCTTTGGGGGACAACCAAGAGGACATTTGCTTCCCAGTTCTGGTTAGCTATTTCTTTTGTCATGTCTTGACCAGATAGAAGATCTGCAACCTTTTAACCTCAGCCAGAAATATAATCTTGCATATTCATCATGTACCTGCAACATTCGGGCATCTACAACAACAGGTTGATCCTTCCAACCCAAGCCATTCTGTACAAGGTCAGGTTGGACAGGGCTCCGAGCAACCCAATCTCAGGGAAGATGTCCCTGCTCACTGCAGAGGGGTTGGACTAGGTGACCTTTAACAGTCCCTTCCAACCCAAACCATTCTATCTTTTAATTCAAGGCTTCAGCAATCATCAAGAATCATAGAATGGTTTGGGTTGGAAGGGAATGTAGTAAAATGTTTATTTGCACAGAACTCAGATAATGAATTATATAGAACTAGCAAAATTTGGTTTTGCCACACATTAGTCAATCACAAGCAAAACAAGACGGACAGACACACACCAGAGTAACTCCCTCTCCACCTCCTGTGTCATCACCAATTGCGAGATGCATTCCAGTCTCTTAGTCTGGAATAAAAATGTCTATATGCAGATTTTTGAAATCATCTCAATTTATAATGAATTTTGACAAAGTTATCTCTTCCCACCCAGGGAAGGAAAAGGCAGGCAGGCAACAGGAATCCCACGCCTGTGACTACAACTGCAGTATAGCTGGGACATTTGCTCTTGAGGGTTTGCCTGTATTAGATAACTATTTAAAACCATTCTAATAACATCTGTGGAAAACTACAAGAAGCAATGTAATAAAGCCAGTTTAAGTTGTGGATCTGCAAGAGAATCTAAACTTGGCAAAGCAGATGATCAAGCATCCGCAGATGTTAATTGGTGCCAGTGCCCTCATGCAAAAAAAACTTCTTACAGACCAACATCCAAAAGTATTTCTCCACCAAGCACTGTATCAGTGAAAGGTCTCCAAAACTGCTCTGGAGACATGCCCTGAAGGCGGCAGAACTTGGCTAAAAGGGGTTTTTTTTTCAGTTGTTTCTGCAATAGGGTGAGATGGAGTAGTACTGGGAACAAGGCCTGAGAAAGGGTCAGTCAACACTTTGGACTGCTGAATGTTGACCATAGCCTGTAAAAATGAGATACACCCAATGCAGAGTTTAAGGTCAATCCAAAATTAAAGGTGGCGGTTAGGCAGCAGACTCAACAGACAGCAGGACAATGAAAGAATACGACAAAACTTAACAGTGAGAGGAAGACTCTGCATGAACACTTACTTTACAATGAGTTGACTGCAGCATCATAAACAGAGTATTATAGGGAAGAGGGCCCTGAGTAGACATGTGAAAACCACCTGGTTTAAAAATACCAGGTATGCATTAAACTTTTTGCCAAAAATCTTCATGCTCATTTGCAAAAAGTTACAGTCTACATAGTTTCTTGCTTTAGTAATCACTCAGCAGCCTCAGTTCTTACACCTAAACAAACAATTATTTCATTAACATACTCATACTAACATTCAGAAGCCAATCAATGCTCCACACAGTGCAATTACGCTGTTTTGCAAGTTGATGCTTTTGTCTGTATTTTTCATAGACCAGTACTTTCCTGAGAGCACTTCTGACCTCACTCAAGGCTGCTGTTTGGTTCAAATCCCGATTTGACCCACTTCAATCAAGGCATTTCAATCCATATTCCCCCAATTCATGCTGCAGTGTACAGTGCTGTTCTACAGGGCCATTCCTAAATAGTCTCACAATGATGCCCCCCAAGGAAGTTTTGGTATTCCTTCTCTCCCCATTTTTCTAACTCCTATATAATACCTAAATAATATAAACCCAATGTATCCTCTTAGCCACAAGTAACACTTCCCCTCAACATACGTGAAATACAATCTTTTCTAACCAATGTTTATTTCATTACAGAGTTAAGTGAGAAGACCAAGAGACTCATGACACGCTCCGATTTTTGTTATTTTACAATGATGTAAAATTTAGCATTGGTCATTTTAAGAGAGCAAACATGCCCACACCCCTGCATAAATCAGTTTTATAGGACCGAAAGGTATAATTTTCATTAGGATAAATAAATCAACTGGTCTGCAGTATTTACCAAACAAGGGCAGAAGGCTGTCTTGGAAGATTAATTCAGTTTCTTTTAAGACTGTCTTCTCCTTTCAATGCAAAGTAAAACAGTATTGATCAAACATGGGAGTAAAGCCTCAGATGTGGTATTGTGATTCCATATGCAGTTTGGAGTTACACGTGTATTTTTAAACACACCTTTTTAACATTCCTTCAACAATCTGGCCGATCTCAATGCTGGCTGAGCGCCAGCACCAATCCCTGCTAGGTTCTTCATCTTGAAACACAGCAACATTTGCTTGCTATGGCAAAGAGGGAAGTTTTACCCTTGTTATCCACAACGCAGATTTGGAATATGTACCAAAACATACCTGGGTGAGGAGATCACTGGCATGGTGGTCGTTTTGTCTGGGTTTTTTCCCTGCATTTCTTGAGTACAATATTAGAATTATCCAAATGAAAGGAAGGAGTTATGGTCTTCCTGAATATAGCTACCTCTCTCCTACCAGTGCTGCTGGACCAGAAGGAAAAAAACTATTATTTGGTTTTCTTTACAGCTCTAAGAAAACATTTCACAGAAGGCAAACATGAAATTTCTGATGAAAATTTCTCCTCTGGCCCTCACAAGATCTTCATCCTAATCCTTCATCCTACTTGTGAACTGTTAAAAAACCTGAACACTGTTCTTCAGAACCCAAGTGCAACGGGGCAGCTTTTACCTTTCTTCTGTAACACACCTCGACCTTTGCTATAAAGAGCAGCAACGCGCCTTCCAAGAATCTTCTCTCAAATTTACGTAATTGAACCATTCTCATTAGAGGCGTTACCTTCTTTCTTGGCAATCAGAGAGTATTACCATTCCAGGGAACCACAAAAGAAAGTATGCAATGGTACTACAGCCCACTTTTTGCAATCACCTGCACGTATATCCCAATACACAAGCTAAAACATTACTGGCGCTTTCTGGTATAATACTGGATTTGTTACAGCCATCTTGAAACACACATTGCCCACACCAGCCCAAACAGAAACACAGCTCAAAAAAAAAAGTTATGTGATCTCATTGCAGGAAAACTTACAATATCTTTACATTGAAAATTCTGTCACTTGAAAGAAGAATCACCCCTCTCATTTGTTGGCCACTAGCCGTATCTAGTGTTGTACAACAGGGAAGATAGGAGTCTGTTGTCAAGACACCAAAAAACACAGAACTTTTATTAAAGCACTAATATGTTCTGGAAAAAATCACCAAAGCAGATGAAGCACAGCTCAGCTTCAGGAGGGATCAAATGGCCTTCTGTTTCTTGCTAATACACATGAACACATGTATTAGATTTCATATACATATAAACCTGCTTGTAGGTACCCCCACAAATTACAGGGTAAAATCTAGCACCCTGGAAATACCAGGGCTAACATTTTCCTTAAATATATGCATGCACACACAGGTATTTTAATTGTGTCTCTTCACTACAGGTGTAGAGATCAGACTAACTACAGCAAATACCGCAGACTTACCACACCATAGAACAACATCAGAACATAATCCCCTTTTCATGAAAAGTGGTATCTTTCAGGAACATCAAAAGGAGATTAAAACAGAATAGTATTAAAATCCCGATTTCGCAAGTGATCTGGGGAGTAAAAGAACTGCTAGCACATCCAGCGATTTCCTTAAACTCTTGATAACCATCTCCAGAACCTGTTTCTGTAGGTGATAATTAAACTGTCTTGTTTTTACAGCTGCTTTCTTCTTGAATGGTTGAGCTATTCAAAGGAAATCAGAAAGCAGAATACCAAAACCCATGGCGAGTGCCCAAGCGCCTCAAGCTTCTTTGAAAATCTTCATGCAAGTGGCACGTGTCCTCTATACTTACGGTGGCTATTTCTTGTCTGCTAGTTTTACCCACAGAATATTTTAACTCCATTGCTCCCATTACCTTTCTTTTTATACACGGATATTTAGGAGAGCAGTGAAGCTCATTCAGAAAGCTGCGTGAGGGCTGCAGGTTATACAGCTGCGCTGCCTCAGGACTTCTGCACACCAGCCCCAAGAACAGCTAAGAAGTGACCGAATTTGCACCAGTTTTACTCTCCTCCCATAAGACACGTTTTGTGGAAATGTTCCCCCACACCATTATCCACCCACTTCGTCTAACGCAGGCTCCCGTGATGCTGCAGGGAGCTGAAATGAAAAACTACAATATCAGATCGTATTTGAACTTACAAGGAAGTAGCTTAGAACAAAAGAGGTATTTCTACAGCCTAGGTGGATCAGACCCATCTAGAAGTTTGGCAACACAATTAATGCAGCAACTTCCTCTTTCTGCAACCAAGCTGAAGCATGTTTACATCTAAAAAGATTATTCAGAAATCAATCACCTCATATCGCTGTGAAAAAATCTTTTGCTTTTGCTTTCAAAGAAATGGGTATAACTTAACACATACAAAACCACCCACGCTTTACCAGCAATCTTTACACAAACTTTAAAAAAATTAACTGCCTTGAAGAAATCTGGTTAAGCATTCCATCTTTAAACTGATTTAAGGCTCCCACAGGGAACAGATCTACATTCACAAAATATTAATAACTTTTGATTTCAAATACATATCGTGCATCGTGGTATAAACTGAGAAGAAAGAACCTGTGTATCCTAATAAGCATCCATTTATGTGCACTCACACACCACAAGTACTTTAAAACAAACAGCATTCATTTGAATAAAAATATACTTCCAACAACAGAATTTCTCTATTAAATCCATGTTTATTGCTTAAGTTTTATCACAGTGGAGATTAAATTATGCTTAATCATCCGGTCAGTGCTTTTGTACCTTCTTCAATGCCAAAAAAAACCCCATTTAAACCAAGTCATTCATACACTCGAAGTCTTATTACCATCCCACCATTCATTGCCTCTGTGTGCTCCTTTAGTTGCCACAAACTGCAAGATTGTAAAAAGGTATAGCTAATAGGCTTATTTATAATACCATTTTCTTCAAGTATTCAGAAAGCAGTACAAGTAGCTGTACTGTGTATTAGAAACATATCTGTACTGTTATTTATTGCTATAGGATAGAGGCTCCTGATGGAATGGTAGTGAAATATTGCATCACTGTGTATGAAGATGATCTCAGCATCCTGTAATCATCGCAAACTCTTCCCATGTTAGTGAACAACACCAGGTAAATGGATTCCTTTCCTTTCTCTTTCAGGCATGGGATTTCAAACTACAAATAAATAAAGCATACACTCACAACATGTGTAGTGCAAATTCCAAGTAAACAGAATGACATGGAAATAAACTCATAGTTGCCAACTCCGGTTCCGCAGGACAGTTATGATTTCACGCCCGGCGCCCCGCATCCCCACCCTCGGTGCGCACCACCACCAGCGTCCCGTGTCGGCGACAATGATTGAAAGAGATTGTTGCAGGGAGGGGCCAGTAGCAGGGGAAGGAGGCGGGGAGGGGGGGGGAAAGACCACCACCTCCACAAACCTTGCGCTGGGGGTGGCCAGGCTTCGCCCGGCACGTCCCGTCAGGCCTCGGAAGGAAGGCTGGTCGCCCGCCCGGTGAGCAGCCTTCCCATCCCACATGGGAGAACTTGTATTGGCAACTATGCAAAACATGGATTGCGTGGCCCAGGCTAAGAGAAGGTAATATTTTTCCAGATACAACCATTGAAGGAGAACATCTACAACATTGCGATTTAGAAAGAACTTAATAATAATGAGAATTAATAGGAAAGACATTCAACTTTGGGGTGGGGAGGGGGGGCATTTGTTGTTTATTTTGTTGTTTTTTTGTTTTTTTGTTTTTTTTTTTTTTTTTTTTAAACAAACCCATATAGTGGTTTGATTCTGCACAGCTCTGGGCCATTACAAAACCTTCTGCATTACGCACAGGGCTAGATTTTCTTTGTTTTTGGTGGTGGTTTCATTTATTTTTTTCTCAATTATGCAAAACTATTTCCCACACAGCCACATTTTAAACTGAAATAGAACTCCCTAATATTTTCATGGCATAAATTATATATGCAGAGAAAGGCAACAAATAAAATTTTGTCAAAATTAGAAATTAAGACTTATTGTAGACTTGCTCAACGCCCTTTTCTCCAGAGTACTTACAGTGAGCAGAAGAGTCATGCAGCTTATCAGTAAGAGGAGTACATATTTTCGCCATTTATCTTTAATGCTCACTTTAAGATCTTTTTTTTTAATGTCTGTCCTCTCAGTCCACAACTTGCTATTTCTTGCACAAAGACTGGGAAAAAATATTTTTTTTTTAAACAGCATTCTTACACCACATGTTGAACCTTCAACAAAGGAAACAGAGCTAGCACTAAAGTTCTCTCAGCTAAAAGATGGATATATTAAAATAATAAAAAAATAAAAGAAAAAACCTCTGCAAATAAAAAGAAACCTTTCCTCTTTTGGGACACACACATTTAGCTTTTAAAAACTGAAAATTCATAAATATGGTCATTGTATAACTTTAGAGAATTAAGGCTTCTAAAAACTTCAGTGCCAAAATAACCTCTCTGCATCAGTATTAAGAATAAAATATTTTCCATTTTAGGTTGTGCTTGCCTTTTTTTTTTTTTAAAGACTTTTCTTAGTTCCGTAGAATTTTGTCACATAATATTACATACTGAAGGGGAGCGTTAGAACTGCTTATTGAGGTTTTAAGTAGTTGTTAGACTAAGTTACAGCGATAAAATTCGATTACTGATCTGATTCATTACTACTTTACATGGGGCCATTGGCTCATTTCACCTTTTTTTCATGCTTAATGTGGCCGTTTCTTCTATACTTGCCATTTGGTATCCCGTTCTGGTAATGTCCGTTAACAGCGCTATGTTCGTCACTCGACCAAAGGTGTTTGCTTTGTTTGCGGACAAATTTTGTTATCCTGGCCAAAATATAATAAAGTAAGGCAGCACCCACTAGTACAACAAAGGCAATATCCAGTAAGAAATACTGATATAAAGAGATGCTGTAAACAGCGGCACGTAGATGTTGGGCTCCGTTGTGACGGAGGATGTAATTAATCCAGTACACAGTCCGGTTAACAGGATGACCAGGTTGGTCTTTGTGAATCTCAGACAGCCTCTGGGCCCGCTGCCGGTAGCTGCGGGGAAGGAAAAGAAAAGGGAAGAAAGGAAAAAATAGTCGTCAGCGTGCTCCGAGCAATGCAGGCTTGCAAACAGAAATATCCTTAAGCCTCTTCAGATCAAACAGCGTGTTACCACAGGACTCTCGCAGCCACCAGCGTACAGAGGGCTAGACAGGGCAGATGATCTGCCTTTAAATCGGTCATCACTTGCGGCTCACTGATGAGGAATGACTAGAGAAGCAGAGCCACGTGTGGCTGAAGGCAGAAACTCACCCTCCAGCAAAGCTCCGAAGGAGCCAAGCTGACCTGCTGCCAGGGGGGCTCCTCATCTAATCCAGAATGGATGCTATCAGTGAGCCAGGCCCATCTGCCCTTCCCACCGTAAAGCAGCAGCCTACCCCTGCCTCACGAACCGCTCGGTGAGGCTATTGTGCAACTGCACTGCTAGAGAAGTGCAGAACCAAGCAAGAAACTCGCTTCTGACTGCACAACAGACCGTTTCCACTTGGGTCTAGAGTTCAACCTAGAACTGTTTTTCCCCCTCAACAGGCCGTCCCCAGCAGCAGATCACACCAAATTCCTCCTCTCCCCCCTCACCGCAGCTGCAGGGCGACCAGGTTATTTATGCAGGACTTGCCTTTCTAGCAGGGGCAATTGCACAAGGGAAAGGTGATGCAACTGCTGTTACCGAGCTCTCTTTAGCAACATTCCCCTTTGCTGCGGTTCTGCGGCTCGCTCCTTACAGGTTTCTCCCTTCCTAAGGCAAGCGCCGCTTAAGGACTTTGCTGCCGCAAAAGCAAGAAGCATTTGTCGGCACCGTGCTCCAAAACTGCAGTTGGCCTGCTACAATAAGCCACCAGTTAACACGTCGTTATTTTTAATCTGGAGACAGTCTGAACATCACCGATGTTTAAAGCAGAACAGTTCAGAACAAACTTGTAAAGTTACTTCTCCTCACACTTTAGTACCCCAAGCAAATTTGTTTGCTGAAATTACAAAGAGTTATGAAACCCACATCAGGGGCTTTTACTTATTCTACTTGAGTAACAAAAAAAATTTAGAGAAAACAGACTGGAGTCCTCATATTCATAATAATTTGTTAGAATATTGTCATTGCAACACACACAAGTGACCTTCCTGACCTTAAGAGCAGTATTACTGGCCACAGCAGGAAATTTTTTTTTTTTTAAAATCCAACCATGGGACTTTAGAAAGAGTCACTCTTTAATGCCTCTGCATTTTCAGCTACAATCCAAACATGCCACCCTACAATCGTATAGCTGTATTTTGCTCCAGGCCCCTTAGGCAGCACAGGCAGACTGCTAAATATGCAGTAGTCAAGACACACAAAAAGAGACCTTGGTCTGCAACCAAGAATACGTCAGGACAGGTTTGTTTCTATAACCTTTCTGCCCTTCACGTGGTAGCTGTCGCAAAAAGCAAATGAGACAATTGAGTTCTGGTACGCTGAGCAGTGAGCTTAGCACCTTCACAGAAACCTGGTCAATTGAGTCGTCTTGTGAAACGCGACAACCATCCAAAGACTTGCCCCAAGTGTACATACAAATAAATCCCAACACCTGGGGGTTTATTCCCCCCTTGCACAAAGGTTCTGTATATGCATGTTTATCTCATAACAGTAACTTAAAATAAAAAGAAACAACCGCTCATTCCATACCTGGGGTCATTAATAACTTTCACTAGGGCTTCATACAATTCACTCTCAGTGACGGTCTTCCAGTTCAGCAATATTCCCATGCCTTTGGCCTGTACACGAGTCATAGTGTCGTAATGGTCTCCAAAAAGGGGAATCCCCACCACTGGGACCCCATGGTACATGGTTTCAAAAATGCTGTTCAAACCTCCATGACTAAGAAAAGCTTTAATGTTAGAGTGACCTGAAAACAGAAGAGGCATGAAGATTTTAAAAAACCCAAAAACATTCACATCTCCTTAATGTAAAGTTATTGAGGCAACGGATTACAACACATCATGTTTCTAAGGCTGCAATTCAGAAAGGCAAAAAATTGAATGCAACTTGTTCTGAAGTTCTCCTGTGCTGGTTTTGGCTGGGGTACAGTTACTTTTTTTTCATAGTAGCTAGCATGGGGCTGTGTTTTGGATTTGTGCTGGAGACAGGGTTGGTAACACCGGGATGATGTTTTACACAGAGCCAAGGCCTTTTCTGCCTCCCACCTCACCCCCATCCACAAACAGCTGGGGGGGCACAAGGAGCTGGGAGGGGGCACAGCCAGCACAGCTGACCCCAGGGATATCCCACACCATATGACATCATGCTCAGCACATAAAGGTGGAGGAAGAAAGGGGGGGGACATTTGGAGTGATGGTGTTTGTCTTCCCAAGTCACTGATACACACGATAGAGCCCTGCTTTCCCGGGGATGGCTGAGCACCCGCCTGCTGGTGGGAAGGAGGGGATGAATTCCTTGTTTTGCTTTGCTTGCACACGTGGCTTTTGCTTTCCTTATTAAACTGTCTTTATCTCAGCCCACGAGATCTCACTTTTATTCTTCCAATTCTCTCCCCCATCCCACCAGAGGGGAGTGAGCTGCCAGCAGGTGCTTAGTTGCCAGCTGGGGTTAAACCTCAACACCTCCTTAAACCACTGAAATTTCTCATGCATTAGATAATTTCCTCATACGCTAAGAGAGAAGAAACAGCCAATGCAAAGAAAATTCTCATGTTATTATTAATGGAGTAATTAAAATACATTGTTTACTCCTGAGTAGCTGCAGGTGGTGACTACAACCAGTTTAGCAGTACAAATGAGCCAGGGAGAGCACGTTTTTCCTCATTATTCGTATGAAATACAAGCTATTTAACAACAGGACAACTGATGTTACATTCCCGCTGAAGCTTCACGTGCCTTACTTCAGGCTAGCAAGATCTGACAATAATGATAACAACCTTATGCAATGGAAAAATGAGACTGCCTCAGAGCAATTTAGTAACCAAAACAAATCTACCTGGTTTAAAAGTCATTTGCCTAATCACTACCTTATGATAAATACGCCAGCTGACATGCACACACAGACACACACACATGCTTAACGCATTCATCAGCGCTCATCATAGCACTGGAGCTGCTTTGCAAACTCACAGACATCCAGGTATCCCACAGACAACCATAAATATTCTGTGGCCCCTCGGATCTGCAATGCATTCAGCTACCCTTCAGCATGGAAGGAAGCGGGGGACAGAAATAAAATACATAGACTCTAACATAATCTTTACCAAAAGATGGAAGAACATTGAGTTTCATCTCTGCACCTGAGAACCTGCAGTACCTCAGGTTAGTTAAACAGAAAGGTTATTGGCTTGCAACACATGCCCAAGTCCTGTTAGAGCTTCCTCTGGAGAAAAGTAAATGTGTATGTATACAGCAGTATGCAAAGACCCCTAAGACTTGTTTTGAGGCAACGTGAATAAGTTTTGCATGCCCTGTTTTGTGACTCTTCCAAAAGGAGACCAGTGAACGACATCCTTCTCCACACAATTAACTTAAGGAGAAAGTGGAGTTAGTACCAGGGAAAGATAATCAACATCAGAAAGGTGTTTTATTTCATCAGCTTGAAATTCTGACAAATTCTACATTTTTGTTCTGACTTCCATGACAGAGATTATCCCAGATTTATGACGACTGCCAATTCAGCAGAATATTGTTGGAAGAGCAACCTGAACTGAAGTGAGAGTACACAATGCTTGATCAAAATAGATACTCACCAAGAAGGTCGTTTTGTGGTAACCATTCTATAAGCTTCGTATTGTTGCCTAAATTCCTTGGTTTGTTTCCTGAAAACCTAAAACAATAAATCAAATTGATGCTGAGTTACCAAGATGTCCAAAATTCATAAACCAGAGAATCAAACCAAACAGTCCATGAGCCCTAAGCAGATCTCCAGTTAGGTGAGGATACTGTTTGCTCACTCTTGCAAGATTTACTTACTATTACAAGAAAACAAAATAGGCTCAACCAAGATGCTGCAAATAGCTGACAAATTCCAACTTTGTGTTTTCACCGTGCAGGTTTCTTGCAATCCGGCTTGAAACGCAACGTTTTCTAATAACAGAATGGCAACACATTTCCTTCTCAAAGCATATACAACTCTTAGCACTGACTGGCAGTTGGTTTTATAACCTCTCTATGGCTCAGAGTCCATCGCTGTACTGAAAATCTGGCTGGCACCCGGTAAATAACTCTCCACCGAGAACACCCCATCAGCACACAAATAATAACCCCCAGTGTCGACAGGAGGCATTCCCTTTTAGTTGGCCAGTTTCCCATAGCTCTTTATAATCGACACTGTCTTACTTTAAAAGGTGTTACTAATACCAGGAAGGGAAAGGCTGACAGCTCAGCTTATGAGGCAGAAAGCTATCGATGAAAAGTTTGGGATCCAACTGAGACAAGTGTATTTTTCTTACTTACTCACACTGCCTGAAACCCAATGGCAACATCTTGTTCACCTGAAGTCGCTGGAAAAGTTTAGCCCATAAAATACAGGCTCAAAGTAGAAACCAATTTACATATTACTGCTATATGCAGTTAATATAGAAAGTTAAATATATCCTGAACAGAAAAGAGAAAAAGTTACCAGTGACTGCTAAAGAATAGAACTGTTTTGCGAGAGCTCCATTGAACGACTTAAAATATTTTGATTATTAAACAGTATTAGAACTACACTTCATAAAGAATCACCTAATTCCCAGTTAAGTAAGCCATAGATTTTTACAACCAGCCTGTACATGCTATACATTGAAAAAAGCCTACATTATTTACGCTAACTTATATAAAACCAAATAAACTATGGTACTGGCTTTGGCTCTACCTAGTACTCCATAATCAGAAGTATATAAAGAACTACAAAGATTTTCTTGATTTGGCATTGTGGCCTAAGACAGCCAAGCAGCACGGCCTCTCTCATTTTCAGACATATCTAGTATAGAAACCACCTGCCTCCACCACAGACCATAGGTCAGTGATCTGCAGAACAAAAAAAAAATCAAAATAAAGTTGGACTCTGTTTCATATTTAAGTATTTAATTATGGATCTCAAATTCCCACTGGGGTGACTGAAAGCAACTTGCTCAGCACTCCGAGACCATGCCTTACACCAGAGACATCTTCCTATTCCATAAATGATGATGGAAAGAAACAGCAGATGGGTTCCCTTATCCAAAAAGCCATTCAGCAGATAGATTGCAGATAACAAAAACAAAACAAAAAACCCAAAACCACACTGGTAAGGAAATACTAGTGAGGAAAATTAAAAATTTTAAGAGAAGGCTTCAACTGAAATTGTTGCTTTTGCATTAAAAGAGTTATCCCCAAGGAAAATCCATTCAAGTTTATTTATTTACTATAGCAAGTGGATACTTCCTACAGAAAAACATTCCAGAGGAAACATGACAAAAGGATAAAACAGAAGAAAAGCAGTAAGATCAGCTGGGACTAGTAAGTAATTACAAGCCAAGCAGCATTGCAGGCTTCATAAGAAACAAACACATGACAGCTCTACCCCAAACAAAAACCGGTGAGTTCTTTACTACAACTACCAAAGGTTCTGTGCCATGGCCTGAAGAATTTCCATTTTCCTGTTCATTAGTGGGGTTCACTACTTCAGTTACACACAGGGATGAAAACTATCCCTAAGACATGGTGGAGAGCGGGACGCTAAACAGTCTGCTAATACAACTCTGGAAGTTCAGCAAGGACAGCAGTCATAAGTTGTAAGACACCAATTACTTGGAAACCAATGGTTCACATGAACTCCTCTGAATTATATTCCAGAGCAACACTGCACGTGAAGCAGAGCTGACTAAACAGTTCTTGGATTTCTACAGTAAGTTTAAGAGCCACTCAAGATGTTTTTAGAGCCAAGAAAACCTATTACTGATTTTCACTCCTGCAGATTTTTCTCCCTCCAATTTCTTTCAGATAAAGACAAGTGAGAAGAGCAATTATGAAAGACTATTTACAGACAAAAGAAGGAGCCCAAAAGAGAGAGGAAAAGAAGATGGATAAAGAAGAAAACCTATGGTTAAATCAGCAGGATCTCATTCTTGCTCCCTGCAGTGGCTTCCTTATCAGAAACAATGACAGTATGTCACAAGTGTTATAACCTCAGACTCTCTTTTCACTGTCCCCAACCCTTCTAGGATATAAATTCAGCATAGGGGTATAACCTATGCGTTATGCTGCCACAAAATCATTGTTCCTCCTTATCACCAGGGGACCGCAGCACTTCCATAACAAGATCTTTCAAAAGAGTCAGGTCCTCTGTGCCACCCAGACTGTCTCAATTTCAGCTTCTGCAACTCTAGATCAAGGTGGCACAATAGGAAATGAGCGGGCTTCAAATCACCCCAAGCACGTCTATCACCGCACTTACCTCCAAATCACTCTCTGAGGCAGTCTTGCCAGAGCATGGGCCAACTTATTTGCTATGTCTTCTGACAGGTATTTCACTCCAGCTCCAAAGGAGACGAGGACAAAGCCGTTTTCGTTAGCACCATTCACCCACGCTTGGAGATCCTGTTAAAGGGAAAATTTACACTGAGCACTGTAGAAGCATAGTTAAACCACAGAAAGAGATTAAGTAAATATTGTTTAGGAAGAACAGTTGTTGGCCCTGATGTTACTTCACAAGCCACATTTCAAGTCAAACATTTCTGAAGTTAGCGAGTACAATGACTCAATGATTCGGAATCCACAGTACAGGCTATGAACAGCCAAATTTCTTCTGGGTTTTCTTCAGCTTCTATATTAACAGTTTATTAACAACCAGTTTCACAAGACACTTTGTCCTTTAACTCATCAGTTGACACATTCGCGTGTTAACACATGGCATTTTAACTCAGCAAAACATAAATCCATCTCATGGTATCAGAAGTACAGCACAGGAAACACACAAGTGAAGTCTGGGACCCAACTGGGCCATTTCTAGCCTTAAAGAAAGTGAGAGTACTTCAAAAGGGTTGTTTTCCTTTCATTTACACTAAAATAACAAACACAACTTGAAAGAAGCCAGAGTTCAAAACAAACCTTCAGTTTCCACTGCCCCAGCACTTCCAGGAGCAAGGAACAATATTGCATCTGTATGGCAAGTACCAGGTGGATCCCTCTTTTGGGGATCAATACACTTGATCCTAGACCGAACTGCGTGCCTCTTCCAGGGCGAGTTACCGGTGTTACATTAAGTGTACACCAGTGTAAAAAAGGCCAAAGCCCTTTAAGCTCATCCTCCTCCTGTAATTGCTCCAGAATAGAGACTCTTGCAACACAATTTTTGCTGGCCTTCTTTGATTCAAGGGCTGCCTCAACCTAGGCAAGGATGCTGAAAGCAGAGGTCTGCGGTGTGGCTCTGCTCAGAAGTACTCCGAGAGCAGAACCAGCATCAATCTCCTGGGGTAACCTGGCGGCCACGCCATGAGATTCAAGTTCAGAGGCAGCAGCTTTTACAGCAGGGCACCCTGCTTTCTGCTGCACAGGGCTTTGGGGCTCTCACCAAGGGATGCTCAGCCCACACAGGATCACTGGCAGGAGCATCTTATCTACAACCATGGCTGGTCCAGGGTTTCACTGCACTCAAGAGCCCAGTGTCTTGGGTCCAGCCACAGGCAATTCCTTCACAGCTGATGCTTCGGGCAAGTCCTGGTTAAATTGCAAAGTAGGCAGCAACATCCAAACCCCAGGGCTGACTTGGTGGAAACGGGGTTTGCATCACCAATAACAAGGCAAGCCAGCAGACACTGCTACCGACCGCCACCAGGGCTCTGCAGGGTCGGAGGAAAAACCATCCAAGCATGAGACAGCAGAGCTGCCAGCTAAACAAGTCTCAGACACAAGAACAAGGTCATTTGGCTTCAGGAGTGAAAAGCTGATGGGGAAAAAAAAAAAAAAAAAAGGCAAAAGCCTCAGCATACCCTTTGCTTTTGGAAATGTAGATTTAAATTCTATTTTTCCAATGCAACTGTTGGCAGTGGAAACCAAAAAATTAAACTACTGACCTACAGATATGTCAGTCTGCTGAAGAATAACTTGTATTTCCCAGGATATGGTTTAATTCTGGTCCCACCAAATTTAAGCATAAGCTTGCTCAACACCGGTGCAGCAATAGGAAATGAGTAAAAGGAAAATTAAGAGCCCTGTTCACAATGTGCCTCTTGTCCTGGCAATAAACAGCAGGCCAGACAGTAATAGTGTAATGCTGTGCTATCTTCGCCAAGCAGAAAACCACAAAAGCTACCACAAAAACCAGCAGGCGCAACGAAGACCTGCGCAATATGCTGGGGGTTGTACACTGGTCTCTACTGTGCAGTGAAAAAGGGCTTTCCATTTTCTCTACAATCCACATTTTTTCATTTTTCTTCATCCTTTTCCAGCGCACTTCCTTTTCCTTCCTTTCTTTTTCTATGTCTGTGGAGGGAGGGAAAAGAAGGGAAAGGAGGGGAAGTGTCTGTGACCTGCCTCGAAGCTGAATCATTTATTAAGAGCTGAACTCCTGACATGAAAGTTTGAGTGGTTTTGTGATTTACAGTTTGTCCTTGAGTTTTACTTAAGGACCTAAGGCATGCTGCAAATGTAATTATAGTCACTTTTACTTAGTGGTTCGACTAGTTACATCTTGAACTACTTCCTATCTGTTGTTTAAAGCTAAATAGAAAAGAGCCTTTTGTGGGCTCTAGGACAAGCCATTCTGAAAAGCAATCGAGTACAATACCGTAAGAGACAGCTCTCTGCCCATTTGGGACATTCAATAAAGTTCTATTCTAAGAGCTGGAAGTCACCTGTTGCAAGGTGGTTTTCTTCCAACAACTGGAAGAAGCCCAACATTCACAGGCTCTAGTCTTCATAGGGTACTCACCCACCCCGAGACCTGCTGGAGGGGCAGAAACCTGGAATTTTCTCAAGTGCCTTCTTGATGATAGCTCCACAGCACGGGTGCTTGCATCGGAGGTATAAAATATTCCCTTATAATGGAATTTCTGAAACAGCATTCAAAAGTCCCCATGTATAACAACAAATAGCTCAAGTACTTAGAATTTTATGTAGAGTGGGGGAAATATGAAAGGACCTTCGCTATCTACAGTGGAATTAGAGTCACCCTACGAACAGGCTTTTGCATTTTAGTGTTGTGCAATAGCAAAGCAACCTGCTTGGCGTTATTACAGATGATTTCATAGCTAAACCTTTGTAGCCCTTCCCTTTGAAGGTAATCCCACTGCTCCAGTGGAACATAACATGTACAAAGGGGAACTTAAGATCTTGACAGGCAAGACAAGATCCTGCCACCAGGCTCCAAAGATGGAATTTGTTTGCTGTATCAAAAGGGGTTACATAAAATAAAATCAACAGAACACAAACTGGCTTATTTGGTATAAACTGAATTTTATTACCTGTATGCTCCTTCTCCTGAGCCACTTCCTAAGCATGGCAACACAAATGCACGCTCACAGGCTCTCTAACTGGGATCCAAGCAGCAGAAGTTTGCAGGGGAAGATTTTAATTAGCTTCAGAAATCAAGCATGCTTCCCCTACAGACATGTCCACACAAGGAAGAGAGAAGCGAAATGAGGTTTGCCATGCTCCGGGTTGGTCAGGTGCAAATCAACTCTGATCCAACTGGTACATAACCATTAACAGAAGTGCAACAGGCAGGGACTTGGCTCAGACAGAACAGCCTACATGGGCTTCCAAACCAGAGTTGGATGATGCCTGGCCAACCCAAATCAGAAGCAAAAGGACCTTGAAGTTGTCCTCGGGGATTTCTTTTAGAATGCTAAGTTAGAAAGAATATGATTTTGATTCCTCACGTAAACAGGGTCAAAACTGTCCCACCCCAACCTCAAGAAGATGCAGAAGAGTTTCAACTCAGCTTGTTGTATTTTGACATCAACTGAAAAGTTCTTCCCCCCTGCCCCACTACAAATTTGTCCTATTTTTACCTAGCTTTACATGATGCTGGTAGGTAAGAGGAATTGCTTGCCTGCCTTCTGACCTGCAGCCCCTCTCCAAGCTGCTTCCCCAGACGGGTGCTGGAGATCAGTACTGTGCACAGGCTGCAGAAAATTAGCTACAGACTTGTCAGGACAAGGGTTCTCCTTGCATACATCTGTGCAATTCCTGGCCTGACACAGCCTTGATTAAATGGGATTACTAGGCACTGCTGAAAATGCAAGAATTGGGTAAAAATCAGGAAATGAAGAAGGGGGGGGCTTACACTACCTCCTTGTAGAGTTCCCCGAGTTCATGACCTGGAGGGGTCGATTACTCTCAGATTCTTTTAACTTACAATTATTTCTCCTGACAGCTTTTTAGTACAGGCTTTCTAAACTGAAGATCCAGTGAAACCAAATCCAAGTGAGGGGCATTCATAGGTCTCTGCGTTGCAAGACAGACCTGAACGTCCTGGTACAGTTAGCCAGGCCATGGCACAAAGGCTCAGTATTTTCTTGTACTTCAGCTGCTCTTTATGTGGCAATACAAGGTACAGAAGTGATACTCACAGTAGATAAAAAGCAGGCTATTATCTGGGCACATGAAGGAGACCAAGTATTTCATCAGCATTATTACTATGGCTGTGTATGCCACTTAACCCATGCATATGCATGCCTAATGTTATCTTTAGGAAGCACATCACAGCAACTTGGGATGCAGGACAAGCAGTGCAAAATACAAGCTTTGGGCAATTCTCACAAAAAACAAATCCACAGAAGAGAACAGGCTGATGCCAAAGAGCAATTTTGTTTGCCTACAACTTCAGCGTATCTAGCCGCTATAGCCTTTAGTTACCTTCCTACCCTTCCAGTCATCAAGGCCTTACTAGCCCTAACACCCCAAGTACCAGTCTCAATGAAACCACCACCCCAACTCGACACTAAAACCCTTCACAGACATGTAGGCTTGTCTCCTATGATTTTAGTCCCTTGTCTTAAATCCACTTACACTTTTGACCTCCAGCACATTCTGTCTTCCTGGTCTAGTTATGCACCGTACAGAAACGCAATGAGTCAGGACGAGTCATTAGAGCTGCCTTCATTAAAAGCAGCCTGTTCCCTGTTCAGGCAGCTCCTCGCTTGCAGCAGGAAAGCAACCTCCTTTTGCCCAGTGGAAGTGATGTTCAGGTTCACTCTGAATTCAGTGCATTTCTTTTTGCATAAGGAAAGTATACATAATTTTGAAATTACAACTTTTGAGGTCTAAACCTACAGTAAAGTTCAGGGGGTATTACATGATGATCTGCTTTACTAAGCGTTCCTCAAACTCTTCAACTGAACACAGAAGTGAGAAGGGAACACCATTGACTTTCACAGTTAACTCAAACTTTACAGATACATCATAATGAAGAGCCCTTCTTTAAACAGTTCTTTCAGTGACTGTAACTGAGCACCTGATGGCTATTTTTTCCTCCAAATATGGGTATTTCCAGTTTTTGTTGTGTAGAAAAGAAAAATCCCTACCTCAATTACTTGGAGTCCTAGCATAGCCAGCAGACAACATTTGCTTTGCTGAGGCTACCCTGCAAACTTTACAAACTGACCAGAAGCTTAAAGACAGAGACCTGGCTTTCCCCTTCCACGCTAGGAATCAAACCTCAATTTTAACTCCCAAACTTTGATGAACTTAAAAGCAAAATTTTCAATAGAATTTCTGAAAAAACTTAGATCAGATACTCACATAACCTGTAGTTGAAGATGCATTAAAAATGTAATTAGTATTCCTTGTAAGGTCACACTGAAAACAAGCTGACATTAATTAAGTGTTAAGCTGGATATCCTGGTAGGCACCTGTGTTTTCCAGAAATTAAGACATAAACATAGCTGAAAAGTCTGGGATTGAAGAGGTATTCACAGAAGTGACTTGAAGGAGGCTGCTTTCTCCGGGCTATCTCAGTCAGCAGAGGCTCATCCAAAGGATAGATCGGAGCACCTACAGCTACACACACCATACCTCTACTTACCCACTCCCATCTCCTCACCAGGCACAGTACGACCTCGGATGAGGTCAGCCCACACAAAAAAAAAAACCTATCTACTACAGTTCAGTTTTTGAACTGAACTGTTAACTACATTTTATAACCCAATTTTGGGTTTCATCCTATTATGGCTTTATATACATCGCCAACAAAATATCATCTAATGCATACATTAACTAAATTACCATTTTCACTTAAGTGATTTTAAGAAAAGTTATCAATGCATGCCAAGGTATGAAATGCTTAAGGGAGCCCCAGTTACAACACTGTGCCGAGCCCTGTCAGGCCTCTGCCTGTTTTCATGTTAACTTCTGTGCAAACGCATGTTCTTTGGGCAAAATAGTAGAAGAGTAAGAGACTGAAATAAGCTTTCTTTTGAAGCTCCCTACCCTGTTCATTCAAATCTCTAGTTTCACTTGTGTTGACTGACTGATCCTGGCACACCGAGTCCCAGAGGAGGTACCGATTCGTCTCTGACCATATTCCACATCAGATGCGCCTTCTAAACCCTCTTAATAAATGATTATTAGACACACTTACAGGTCTCAGAAGCACGGCACTCACAGATCAAGCCAAGGCGGTCAGACAGCGACTATTCCCCTCCTTGCCTGGGCAGGGAGCTCTTACACGGTAGGGGATCGGCCTTGGGGCCATCTCGCCCCTCTCAGAAGTCGCATGCTTGCTTCTAAAATGCTGCCTTGAGTTTGTCATCTACACTGTTCAAAAGCTGCCTAAGCAGGCTTCTCCTTTTTCAGCATGGGTAATATTTATTGCAGACTGAGCTTTGCACAGAAGCACGCACTACGACCTTGCCTTGTTCTCTTTCCCAGGTTCAGTTGCCTGCGAGTAACGACTTCTTGCGTGACGCTACATTACTGAAGATTGAAGGCTTTTGAGTATCTCCCGACCTTTTACTGAGGCTCTCCCTGTGCTTGCATAGAGAGAATAAGCACTTACTGATATATGCTGTACTATAGGCGCAAGGGGGGAGGAATAAAAAAATAAATCTTTTTACCATTCTCAGACAGGAATGCTATTGTGCCAACCCTACTATGTGAGCTTTGTTCTGTTTGATTTTCTAATTAGCTATTCTTAGCAGGCTTAGATGCTAAATGCACAGCTGTGACTATAGAGTGAGGACCCAGCTGGCAGTAACCAGTGGTGCCTAATACTGAGCTTTGTTGCAGATAAACAAAGTACACAAATACAAACATAACCGGGTTTAATATCCGAAGCTTTCCCTGTTCAGCTGCTCGATTCAAATGTGCAATAGCACAAATGTCTGTTCTTTGAATATGGTTGCAACCCACCATTGCCCAATGGAGAGCACAGGCATGCTATGCAACTGCTGCTAGAAAACCCTGCTCAGCCTAGACAAAACCAGATCTATTTCTAAATAAATAAATAAGCAGCCAGATGAAGTGCTCTTTAGAAAGGAGATACTCACTGACAAATAAACAGAAAGGTACACAGACCATTTTTATTAGCATCCGAAATTTTCTGGCATCTTCTGAATAGGACTTCTCATGGGAAATATTTAAATGCTATATTAATACACGTTTCACCTCATTCCAAATTTTACTGAAAACCCTAACATTTCAGCACAGGCAGTTAAAGGTCATATAGATGCCATTATATTACTTTTACTGTCCCTGAACACCCGGGGTCCTATCACAATCTGAAAGTGATAAAGTAACATGCCAGTATACAGCAAACCCAGAGAAATGCCATCACTTTAGGCAAAGTATGCCGGTTGTATTTCCTTGCCTTGAATTTGTAGATCAGTTTACAACCAAAAATAGGGTTTTTTTTTTTATTATTTGCTCTAAAGAGCAAAGGACACGGGACACCACAGCAGGCTGCACTGCGCTGAGGATGGCTCACACCTCCCTGACTCGACACATCCACTGCCTTCTGCTGGCTCAGCCGAACACCTCCGCATCAGCCAGCGCCTACGCCACCCTCTGAAGGTTATTTTTCCATGCAGTTAATATTCACATTATTTTTTCATATTTTGTAGTTCATATTAGCATAGAGTAAGTTAATTCCAAAAGCAATACTGTGCAGACATTAAAAAAGCACATTCAGATTACAGCATTAGACTAAATTGCTGTTTTCTTGCTTGTTAAAGTCACACTAAGTCTCAGTTGGGAAACAAACTGTAAGATCCGAACTGTTTTCTATTAGGACCTCAAGCACTAAGTGCACTGTCATCACACGTTAATCTAAACGCTCTTGATAAAGTGCTTCTTCAATAATATCAGACCCAGATTCAGCCCTGTTGAAATACAGGCTTTCTCCTTTCGTGTTTATCACTAATTATATGGTGTATATACACACTGCATACTTGGCTTATCAAAATGCATTGGGGGGGAAAAAATGTCTTTAAAGCCTTATGAAGCTTTTCAATGACTAAAATGCTGCATTTTCTCATCCCTGACCTCTACTGCCTTTTCCCATTTAACATCCAGTACCGACAGAATGTTCTAAGTCCATTTAACTTTAAAGAGGAATAAAATACAGACTCAGAAACGCAGGCAAGAAATACAGTACCGCAAGCCTTGGTCTTTTTCTCCCGTATCTCAGCCCTCTCTAGAGTTACAGGCGTATCCAATGAAGCCTCCGAGAACACAGTCTACCTAAAACTAGAGGTCAACCAGAAAACTGCTGCGCAAGTACTTCCCTGATGCAACGCTCTCCATCAAAAATCCATTACTCACCAGACCTTTGGCAAGCACCCTGGGAAAGCAACCTTGCCTTTCAAAGCAGTGGAAGGCCGTCGAAAATAAGAAGCTTGCCCTTCAAGAGAGGCTATTAAAATCACTGCATTAAGTAGCAAGTGCAGCAGAGGCTTCGTCAGATCCCAGATTCAATTTAAAAGCCTTGTTGACCTTACCCCAAAGACAATATTCTGTTAAGAAAATACCCCAAAAAATAAATCACTTTCCCAGGCCCTGTTGTATAACTTGCAAGCACAGAAAAGATTGATTATTAAACGTAAATCCAAACCAAGGTTTTGCCAATCCTCCTACAGTTTCAGTAGCTGCACACATAGTAGAAAAGCTGTGCAAGAAAACTGTTTTTTCTTAACTGTTAAAGCATGGAGACTGTTTTTCCTTACTCCTTCTATAGAAGATCTGGTCAAGTTAAATTGCAGCAAATACACTCAGAAGAAAATTGAAGAGAAGCTCAACTTTAAATCCAGACCTCTGCATTACAGACACTGACATACAGCCCCATCCATAAATCCACATTAGAAACCAATTTGGGGGGAAATTTGGTCTTCCCTTGTTCCAGCACAACACCTATGCTCTGTGGGTGGCAGGAGATAGAACTCTAACCTGCAGCTTTGATTTAATAATGGGAAGTTCTTCTTTACTCCCTCTTCAGATTAAAGAGCTTTTCTTTCTCCCTGGAGCTTACCTCCTCCCTTCATCTCTCTTTTTTGATGTTTCTCAATATATATACAAGCACACATGTATATGCACATATGTGTGTACATAATAGACCTATATTTTTATATAATATTCATGTATTTTCAACAGGCCAATCACCACCCCTTCTTTAAGAAGCTTAAGATCAGCTGGCTTCTTGAGCCTCCATTTAAGTGATAACATCTCACATCTTTCAATAAGACCTCCCTAATCTCCTCTTCTGCTCCTCCACTTGGTTGGGGTGGCCAGAATTGCATCAAACTCTAAGGACGGCCCCATCTACGCATGTGGTGTCCCCCCCTCCTTGTCACCTTCCTACAAAGAGCATGAAAAGAGACCAAGCACCACAGCAGCACTCGCTGAGCAATTCCACATTTTCACCTTCCAGGTAGGATGCACACAGCCTGGGAAGACTCCAGGAGACTCAGAGCTACCACCAGCAGCAAAACAGCAGGTGGAGGTTAATACTCAATTAGAGGTGTATTGCTGCTGCGTTAAGAATTAATTCTACTCAGAAGTTTTAAACACCAAACAAAAAATAAAAGCATTAGGACAACCTTGTTAATAACAAAACTTCTGTTCAAGGTGCTGTTGTGACCTACAAGCAGCTTACTGTCAGGATACGAAAGACAACTTTACTTCAGGTCATCTCTAAAGACTATTTTTTTCGAAGTCAATAATATCAATAACTAAGTTTGCTGCTCTTAAATGTCAGCTTTGTACACATCAATTCCCCAAATCGTACAACATAGTGTTCAAACTCAAGCACATTCCAAACACTACAGAAAAAGGAATCCTTTGGAAATAAGTTCCTATCTTCTGTTTCTCCATATAATGCTAGAAATTATCTTACGGTGTACTTAAGTAGCCCATGGAAAAAGCCACTAGCTCATTATTTATCCTACATACATGTCAGTTAAAAAACTGCAAGTGACACTCACAGTTAAAGCACTGCACATTCACAAAGTGAATAAATCTGATCTGTCCAATATGAAAGTGACAAATTAGAATATTTAAAACCAGAAAACCAATTCAAAATACTAGCTTGTATAAACCTGTTTATTTTTTTGCAAATTGTATAGACCCATTTGATTTTTTTTTTTTAAATAAATACAGTAAAATAACTTCTGTTGCTTTTAACTTTCAGAATTTGACCTATGCAACATCCAAGGTTTGAACTTTGCGGTCTCCATTCCCAATACACAAAATCATTTGAACTGAAGGAATAACCACCTCGTACTATTACCCCTGAACCAAGTAAACCTGCTTTTTGATGGACAGCACAGGCTTGCTGAAGAGGTTTGGTGTTTGTTTGCCAGACCACTAGATGCCAGCTTGCATTTGGCATGGGTGCATGGAGGACCTGCCTTCCTGACCATTTATACTGGAAAGACTTTACCAACTTCCCAAATCAGCCCTGAATCCTTTTCCCTCCGTCTTACACCACGCAGGTAGATGCCAAGTCACGCATCTCCCCGAATTTAAAATGCAGCAGCATCGCAGGAACAGACATGGTTCATCAACCTAGCCATACTGGAGCATCCAAGACCAGAGACCATGGCAGGTTTATGACTTTGGGTACCTGAAGAGCTGAGGCAACGCTTACTTGTGCGGCAAAAGATCAGTTGTTGGGGTGGTGGGAGAAGCTTTATGTGGAAATGTATTTCAGGGCCAAAAATACATGACCATATGGTTCAGCACAGAATTTACACAGCACCCCGTAATCTCTATCATCCTTAAAAGGCTTTTTGCCCCCCCAGCTGACAATCCCCTGCATTTTATAAGAGCTCTAGAACTGCTGCACATCACCAGAAGTTTACTGCCAAAAGTAGCTCCCTAAGAACTATTCCCCAGACTGTAAAAAAAACAGTAATAAACTGATGGTGCGATGCCACATGCAAACATCTACTGCTACAGTCTGCAAGAGCTTATAGACTGCGTCCTTGAATTTGAATGGGGGAGAAAAGTCTAAGGATTTAAAATTAGGTGGAAGAATAAAGAGGTTTTAAGATAAACACCAGTATCAGCTAACACATGCCTAGTAAACATGCAACTGTCAGCAAGACTCAGGAAAGAGAAAACACACTGTTTAGTGGAGATATTTCAAAGCCACTAATTTGTTACATATCTCTAGATCTATATAATAACAAGATTAGATGAGAGATCTCCAGGGAGGAGTAAGTTACTGTAATTACTGTTTGTTGACAGCTATGGCTCAAT